CTAATGGGAGAGACAGACATGCAACTAACCAATCGCTAGGCAGTGTGGGTATGCAGGCTGTGATGTCACAGGGCGCATGGTTACAGGAGCACACAAGTGGACTATGTTAAGTATGTAGAGTTGAGACTCCTGTAGGAGATGGCCCTTGAGCTGAGGGGGGGGGCGTTTAATGTTTGTTTTGCTGTCTTTATGTTAATGGGAGTAGGAATTCTGTGAACCCCAAAGGAAGAAAAGAACATTGCATTGCAGACATAAATCAATATTTGCAAAGTATGGCTGAGGGAACTTCATTTCCATATGGCCAAAATGAATAATGTGGGGAGGGATGGCTGGAAATAAAGCAGGAGTGGGTAAGCAGGGTAACCCTTATACAAGAGTTGTGTGTTAAGGGCCTTTCTTTAAGTCTATTTCCTCATCTCTCAAGTGAATAGAAAAGAGATGAAAGAACATGACCTATAAGGGTAGCAGTCTTTGAAATTGTCTTTTGGGGACCATGGGAATAGAATAAAATTAAATATTTTTGGAAAATGCAACTCACTTTTACCTTGAAACTCTAAATAATTCTTCTCCTCAAATATATTTTAACAGTATAAAGATCAGAACATGTTATTTTTACACAAAGTTATACATTAATTTATCTCAATGAAGCCAGGGGAAAAACAAACCTAAAATAGGAAAATATTATTTTTTTTAATTAAATGATCTTAATTTGGGTGATGTTTATAAAGTGAAAGACTGTACTTCTCAATTCTTATTTTATTTTATTATTTTATTTTATTTTTTTAAATTGGGAAATTGGGTGGAGAGGAACAGTGTTGAGGAATTGGGGAGGGGGACCAGCCAATTTTTTGTTCTTCAATCTTAGTTGTGGAGTGCACCATTCGCCATCCGGCTGCCCGTCGGCAGCTTGTGACCTCTAAGCTCAAGGTGCTGTGTTCAATCTTAGTAGCAGGTGGGCGTAGCCACCATCCCATGCAGGAGTCGAACCAACAGCCTTGTTGCTCAGAGCTCTAGCTCTAACCAACTGAGTAACCTGGCTGTTCCTGCCCCCTACTTTTTTTTTTTAAAGATTTTTATTGGGGAGCTGGGGGGATGGGAACAGTGCTGGGGAACCGGGGGAAGGGGAACAGACAAGTCGCTGCCGTCCCGCTCTTCAGTCCAGTTGCAGAGGACGCCGCCCCACNCTCACTGTACCATTTTGAAGGGTAACAAAAAGAATGAAAAGCCTTGTGAGGAGTCACAATGACTAGAACACTTAGACTGGTATCATGGAGCCCCAGGTGTGGGTGCTGGATGCTGGGGCCTCACTTTAGGTAGCAGTCACAGGAGGCAGTGGTGTTAGAAATAGTTATCCGAGTTTCCCAACTCAGCCAGAACCAAGCACACAGAGGTACTTCTGCCAAGCACTGGGCACTAAAGGAAGACAATCTTTTAATTATTTGTTTTTTCCTCCTCCCCGAGTCAAGTTGTTGTTCTCAGTCCATTTGTAGAGGACGCAGCTCACTGGCCCATGCTGGTATTATGATCATTGTGTTGTACCCGGCTGAGGCAGTCAGTCACCAGCAGTCGGTTGTTCGCTCATGGCAGCCCAGCTCCAGGTCGAGCCATTGTTCACAATCTTAGCTGTAGAGGGCACAGCTCACTGGCCCATGTGGGAATCAATCTGGCTGCCCTGTTTTTGAGAGCTCATGCTCTAACCAACTGAGCTATTCAGCCACTCCAAGAAAGAAAATCTTAAACTGTGAGGACTGTGTGTAAACATTAAAACAATAAACTTCATTGGGTTGGGACTTTAATTGAGGGCTAATCCAAGGGAAGGAATAGTCCAGGGCACCCATTTTGCAATTCCTTTCTAGAGTTGTGTATGTGTGTATGTTTATGGTTCCCATACAAGTGACCAGATCTAATGAAGTTAGATCAAAAGAGCCTTCTGCAATAATAATCACAGCAACATCATTTGTTATGTCATGCATTTATTGAACATTTTTCAAATAAATTGCCCCCAAGATGGACAGGACTAATCACTGTAGTGATTGGCAAGTGTATTTTCCCTTTTATCTTAAAGAATGCTGATAAAATAGTTGGTATAAGTTTGCTTCTTCACATGTGCTTTTTATTTTTATTGAGGCTTTAATTATTTGGGGGTGTCTTTAGGGATAACATCACTGAGATTTACGTTGCAAATAATGGTGATCTCGCCATCACTGCTCTCATCACTGTCATTTGTCATCATATCGCTGTCATTCACATTGCCATACAATGCATCGTCTTTGGCATCTGCCTCATGGAAGGACTTGGAAACAGGCATCACTTCATGTGGAAATGGTAGGTTTGGAGAATTTGTCTTCTTGGGCTCAGAAATATCATTGGCCAAAGACTCAGGCATAGATATGGATACAAGGAAATCTTCCTGGTAACACTGGTACGGCTTGACTAACTGAGGTCTAGATACCATGTTGGCCACACCTTTGCCAACTGAATTTTTTATGTTACAATATCTGGAGGATTTGGTTTGATTTTGTGGACAGGGTGGACAAGGTGGCTTGGTTGATCTGACTGGATATTGTACATTGGCTGGGAAAGGTGACCTAATTGCAATATTTGGATAGGACAAACTGCCTTGACTGAGTAGCTTATAAGAATCAGCTAGCTCATGTAACTTATCTAGACTGCATGTTGTATGTGGTTCCTCCAGGTGGGGCAAACTGAATACTCTTTTGGGGCTTGATGGCTTCGACGATTTTTCTTGACTTGATGGCCTGATTAACTTTTCTGTATTAGATCGTACAGGTGCCATTTCTGGACTCAGAGTCTTGTGCAGATTTTCCATACTGGATGTTCTGGATGACGTGCCTACACTTGAAGGTCCAGATAACCTATCTGTATCTAATAGCATGCGCTGTTCTTCTAGAACGCGTGGATTGGCTCCTTTGGATTTTCTGAATGATATTTTTGATGACCTGGATGATGTGGCTGCTACACTTTCTATTCTGACCCTGAAAACATAGAAAATTTGAAGTGTGACAATTAAAAAAAAGAGTATACATGGGGAACTGAATTTTAAAAAAAAAGAGTATTATGGGTATCACCAGAAACCACAGGCTACAGTGTCAGTTTAAGCTTTTGGACTTTTTTTGGCTCTAGTAGGAAAATCAAACACAGTAACAAATTGGAATGTGGTAAATGCAATGATAGATATGAAATGACAGATATGAATTTATGTTAAATTCAGGCTTTTTCTTTTTCTTAAGAGTATTTTACTCTTTCAATCACAGTATAGTCTATACATAGAAAAACACGAAGGTGTTTCAAATCTACCATTGAGAGAGTTCCTTGTATTCCAGAAGTTAGTCTTTTTATAAAAAAGTCACAAGTTGATACAGAACTGGTACACAAATGTCACAGCTTGTCACAAGAGAGATAAACTCTTTAGATGAAAGTCATTGATTTCCTGTTATATTTACACCATCATGTTACCTATTCATGCATATTTATATTCACAATATTCCTCTAAAACTACAGGAAGGGAGCACTGGTATGTTGTAGTCATCAACCCTGGGACTGGGAAATTTTTAGGGATCCCCGATATCAGGGCCAGCCTGATCCTCCTATATGAAAGGCAGGGACGGAGATCATGAGAACAACAGTGAATGATTTTTCATGATGATATATCTTAAAATGCTAGATTAACCAAAATGTTTTATTTTGTTTGGAATGTAGAGATGCAACTCCCTCTCTGTCCTCCTCTTCATTCTCCATCTTGTGCAGATACTCATGCTGTTATCCTAGACTCAATGTATAATGAAACGAATAGCCTGGGGTTCAGCTGACCCCTGAGCAGGAGACAGCTTTGGCTAAAGTTGATAATGTAGTTGAGAATATTTAGGAGCTGATTTCATTTAAGTGTAAGTATCCACCCACAAGATGTTGGTAGCTTCTTAAAAGTCTAAAGTTAACATTAAGTAACCACGGCAACAATGAAACCCACACTATATGCACACACACACACACACACACACACACACACTCCCCTTTCATTCTTATTTCAAAGGTGTAAAACTTACATTCCTGCTTCATCACTCAGACAATTATAATGGATAAAGCAAAAACAGCTGAAGCCGAAAGCTATGATCATACCACCAATTACAACAAAGAGTAGATGTCTTCTAAAATTCATCACTTTGGTCACCATTGATTCAAGGTGCTTGGCTCCTGTCAAAGAGATTGTATCACCAGAAAATGTTAGGTGACCAAGTTTTCTCCCATTTTGATTGTGGCTTGCCACTATCGGTCAAAAGAAATCTCTTCATCAATGACTTTTTTAAGCATAAGTGTTCCACTGTCATTTTCTTCCCTCTATCATGTCCCCAGCCACAGTCTAGAAGCCAAACCTGAGACACATCTCTGGCTAATCAATATAATTACCTGGGTTACCCCTTCATCATGGCTTTCTAACCCCATTACCTAAGTTTTTGAGTGTGTGTGTATGTCTTGCATGTGTGAATGCTCTTGAGTGGTGTGTGTGTGTGTATGTGGGTGTGAATGTGTGTGTGTGTGAGTGTCTGTGTGAGTGTGTGTGTGTGTGTGAATGTGTATAATGGGAAAAGAAAGTGGACAACAAAAAACCCTTGTTGAAATCTAATGTGTTAGATACCATGCCAGATTCATTGTAGTATTTTTTTAAAGATTTTTATTAAAATATAGCTAACATACAATTTTATATTAGTTTAAGTATTATGCAATTGTCATGTAACATTTATATACCTAAATAAGTGATCAGCATCATAGGCCCAGCAAACCATCTTTCACTGTACCACACTCTCAGAATTTTACTTGCTATATTCCCCATGCTACACATTATATCCCCATGATTCATTTGTTTTGTACCTGGAAAACTGAACCTCTTATTCTCTTTGGCCTTTTCCCCATCTTTTTAAAATTTTCAACTACAGTTTTCACTTCATACACATAGTATTATCTAGTTTGGTAGGGACAAGGGCTGGTGGATTGGGTGGGAAAGGAGAGTGAAGGGGACATCATATCTCTACTCTTTAGGCTTTATGTTGCTTGGAGTTTTCACACAGAAGACAAACTCTGAGGTATTGGCCTAGAAATCCTTAAAGACCCCCTGATGGTAACATGTAAGAAACAGCAGATTTCTTAAACACAGCTAGCTAGCTTGTTTAATTAAGTGCTTGAATGTATAATACAATAGATCATAATTTCTAGGTTTAAAAAGGTTAGCTTCTTACCTTCAGTAGAAGACCCATCGCTTTGGTTTCTATTTAAACAGCTAGTTGTCCAAATGAACAAAAGTAGGACACAAATAAAAATATTCATGTCCGGGGCTTTGTTCAAATGTTTCTACTACCAAGACAACTGCTGTGCTTAAAAGTTCTAGGGGTTTATGACATCATTATTTTGTGTCATAATCTGACAGC